TGAACAATTTTCGAGCCAAACTCAACACCAATTGTCTGTGCCTGTTGTTCTGAAAAAGTATCTTCTACAAATCTATGAAGGAGAGAAGACTTTCCAGTGCCGCTATCACCCACAAGAATGAGCTTGATTAATTGCTGATATTTCTCGGCCATTTCTGCCTACAAGAATAAAAAGAAAGCAAATCAATAAAATGACAATCAAAAATAATTTTAAAAAACAGCAACAAAAAAAGAATCGCACACACCAAACAGTCGAGGAAAACACACACACACACACACAACCATCTGTTAAGAGCCAAGTCCTAAACACAGTTCCTAACGGCAACGTCAGCAATACCCCGCCACCGCCTAGTTATTGAAGCATCTCGTTCTATACGCCGCCGCGTGGGCCGCCATCCAACACGCGATCTTCCTGCCCTGCTTTTTGCGCAGGCTACCACCACGGTGGCAGGTCATTCCCCAGTTATTGCGGAAGAATGTTCGTTTGCATTCCTTTAAGCTCGTTTTCGCCCCTTTTTACAGCGTTTTGTCGCAATGCTCCCGCATTGCCTTACTCTTTCTTCGGCGGCTTTCGGGCAGAAAGGCGGCGGCCAGGTGTAGCAGAGTCGCGCTCCCGAGCTTTTTTTTTTTATTATTTGATCGATTTATTTAATAAATGCGTATTTTCCCAACCGGTGCATGCAAGCGCGTGGATTAAAAGAGGGGAATGCCATGTTTTTATGGTGTTTGACGGGCCGCTGATCGGGCGCACTCTAGCGAACGCCGCCGTGATTTGTGGCCTTTTCTTTGGTTGTTGGCGCCGCTTGTTTGGCAAAGCGGCGCGAGGCGAGGTTGTTGCTGCCAGCGCCTGGTTCAACGCCTTTTGCGCTGTCTGGCGGAAGGCGTTCGCTGGAAGATTAGATTCGCCTCCGCCGGGCAAAGTGCGTAAAATATGGTGTGAGGAACCCCACTTTTTTGGGGGGAGCTTGTGAAAAGAATGATCGCGGTAGAGCTGGCTAACTTAATTAATGTATGTTTATCCTGATAAATGAAGGCATTCTTTATGGTACTCTCTACCGTATGAATCTTTTGGGAAGAACACGACTTTGTAGGGGCAGGGAGCCGATAGAGGCCAGATAATATTTGTTTTTATTTTGCCATCCCACCCACCCACCCCCTTTTGATTCCCACCACGCGGCGGGGTCTTGTGGTTGGAGGACCCCAAAGTCTGCCACTTCGTAAGTAATAATATTTAAATCCTAACTGAGGACAAAGGACCATGCTAGTGGTCCACAGAATTCTATATATTGAATAAAAAGAAAACATTGAAGCAATTAACTAACGAACCTTTTTTCTTAACTTGTTTGGTTTCCATAGATTATTTCAGGAACCGGCCAGCGCTCAAGAGGATTATTCATTTTTAATTCTTTGGAAATTGCAACGGTAACGGGCACGACGAGGGAGATCGTAGGTGGGATCGAGGACAGTGGTGTGCCGCCTAAGAGATTTTCTCGGTTCCGTAGCAAAAATATAAAAGTATGTGAAGAAGGAAGGCATTTAATTCCAGAGGCTTGCTTGATCAAATAAATACGGAAAAATCAAGGCCCTTTTGACCGCCTTGTTTTTGGAGAGAAATGTGAATATGTGGAGGGGTGTTGAGTGCACCATGGCGCTGAAGTTGGATGTTGGGGAAGGAAAGATGGGAAAAATTAAAAGGAACCTTTCTTTTTTTGTTACGAGATGTGGGATGACCCTTCATAATGGGGTTCCGATGCATTACAACATGAAGAAATGGGTGGATAGCTGTCAACACAAATGGCTCATTGTTTTTTTAGATTCAGAACATGTCGCGGTTCATCGAAGTGGAAAACCCCCAGTGGCTTTTTTTCCCTTTGGCGGAATAGAGCAATCCAAAATACATACAAAAGAGCTACTCTCAGAGCCACATGGGGTTTTAGTTTTGGTTTACGCGATTTACATAATATTGCATGAATACATGCCGTGTGATCGTCTTTACCATAAGAACCAACGAAAGCACGGCTTTGTTGTTGGTTTGAAGCGCCTGGGTTTTCATTGTGCTTATTATCTTCCGGCCACTTGTGTCTGTGTGGGGAGGGGGGTGGGGGGTCGATGCTGCGTACAGGAGGGCGTCTTGCCCCATAAATGTACAAATGCACTTGTGCTCCCATTTTTGCAGCTACACCATGTTTGAGCCGTGGGGGGTAGAGAAAGAAACACGTTGGCAAATACGTGGCCCACATTGAATGGTGACGGCGTTTATTACTTTGTGTATTCTTTTCATTTCTTTTTTTTTTTTCTGTATCCCACGCAAAATTACATGGAGAAAGGAAGTTAATACCAAACGCTAAGCGCTACTGTGAAGCTCGAAGGCTCTGAAAGGACCAACAGCACACACACCGCCCACACTTACGTATTTGTATGCTCTCACGTGTTGCTGCAGTGAAGGCACCCCGCACACACAACCGTCGCCGCATGACCGGATCCAGCGGAAGGAGGAGGGAAGGAGGAGAGAGTGAACCGCAGAGGCCCAACAAGTCCCGGCATGTGTTTAATTCTTTGGTGCTGTGCTCCTTGTCATCATGTTGATTTGTTGTGGCAGTGGAGCTGAGGCCGCAGTGGAGAGTAGGTCCGGGGTTGAGCAACTGGCGCAGGAGATCGACGTTTTTGTGCCGAAGAATACGCAGGTGGTGTCAAGAAATGGGACTGGTTTATTTGAAGTGAAGGGAGCATTTGTCTCACCCTTTCTTTTCCGTGCTGGCGGAGTATTGGTTGCCATTGCTGAAGGCTTGTTCGAGTATAACGTCCATGAAAATAAATTGTTTACGATTTGTTCTTCCGACATTGTGGCCGGGTACATCAAGGCTGCGGAGACGTGGCCGTCCATTGTCGCTGAGATCACCAAGGGGGAGTGGAGGGCACGCACCGTGCTTGGCAGCAGGCATGGCGATAATCGTTTGCGCGTTTTGCACCGGCCTACAGCAGTTGCAAGGGACAGTAAGGTGTTTCTGCTTGTGGGAAGCGATACTGTAGGATACGACACTGGTGTTGTTATCTGGGAGAAAGATGGCTGGAACATTCAACTGGTTGAGGGTATGGTCACGCAGTCGAAGGACGGTGTGTAGAGTACACTGATTAGCTGGGCTGAACCCAGGTCGCTTTCACAACAGATCTCCACACACACTCAAGATCACCTGAGGGAACTTTTGACTGCTGGTGGCTCAGGCAATGTGTTGCAGAATGACACGCTTGTGTTTCCCCTGGTGGCAGCGAAGGGGGAAAATCACCCTTTCTCCATGATTATTTGCTCGGCGGAAAACGGAAACAACCGAGTGCTCCCAGAGAGCGTATCTCCTGGGGAATGCATTCGCCCCCGCATCACCGAATGGGAGAAGGGAAAACTTCTCATGGTTGCTCAATGCGGCAATGACCAGAATGTGTACGAGTCGCGTGACATGGGGGGAAAGTGGACGGAGGCTGTTGGGACACTCCCAGGCGTGTGGTTCAGGTCACGACCAAGAGCTCCCTGGGACAAAAGCTTGCGTGTAGGAGACCTCATCACCGCGACCATTGAGGGAAAGAAACTCATGCTGTACACTCGGCAAGGGCACCCCTTCTGGGGGACTGAAGCCAGGGCACTCTACCTTTGGGTCACGGACAATAGCCGCAAGTTTCATCTTGGACCCCTTTCTACGGATCATGCTGTGGATGAGACGCTCGAAAACGCCCTGCTGTACTCGGATGGTGCGTTGCACTTTTCACGAGAGAGTATTGTGGGAACGCGCCGGGTCATATCCCTTGCCCACCTGACTGAGGAGCTGAAGACGATCAAGTCCGTCCTTAGTACTTGGGCAAAGCTTGACGCCTCCTTTTCCAAGTCGTCCACACCCACGGCTGGCCTGGTTGGATTCCTGTCCGATACGTCGTCCGGTGGCGACACGTGGATCGACGAGTACCGCTGCGTGAATGCAACGGTGACGAAGGCAGCGAAGGTCAAAAATGGTTTCAAATTCACGGGGCCTGGGTCCAGGGCAACATGGCCTGTGAACAGCCGGGAGGATAATAAACAGTACGGCGTTGAGAACCACAGATTCATCCTTGTGGCGACGGTGACCATCCACCAGGTTCCGAAGGGGAGCATTCCTCTGCTGGGTGCGGGTCTCGGGGACGGTCACGGCAAGAAGTTCATTGGGCTGTCGTACGGCATGAATAAAAAGTGGGAGACGGTGTTTGACGGCACAAAAACGACACCGAACACCACTTGGGAGCCGGGGAGAGAATACCAGGTGGCGCTCATGCTGCAGGACGGCAACAAGGGCTCCGTGTACGTGGATGGTGTGATTGTGGGGAACCCGGAGACGATACGAACAATTGAGACGCAGGGGTTTGAAATCCCACAATTCTACGTTGGGGGCGACGAGGGAGGCAGCGGCAGCGATGTGACGGTGACGAACGTCTTTCTGTACGACCGCCCACTGAGTGTCGGTGAACTAAAACTGGTCAGGAAAAGCGACGCCAAAAAAGGTAACGGTGACGGCTCCATGCGTGGGGCCGTGTCTCGGGTGCTTCTGCTGCTGCTGCTGCTGGGGCTGTGCGGCTTTTCGGCCCTTTACGGGGCGTAACGCGGCGGGGCCCCTGCCTCCGGTGGGGGCATTTGCGTCTCCCCACGCACCTTCTGGAATAATTGCCACTTCTTGTGCACGTTGTTTTTACTTATTTTGCTTTTACGATCCCTTCGCCGCGCAGGCCCCTTCCTCCATGTGGAAGCATGCTCCCCCCGAGGCCATCATCGCGTGGTTTTTGTTTGTTTGTTTTTTTATTTCCCCCCGTGTTGTGGTCCTCCGACAACGGCGGGATCTACTCAGTGTTCTTGTTTTTTGTTTGTTTGACCAGAGGCGCGCTCGGCTTTGTGTGTCACGCCGACGGCGCCGGCTAATAAAAGAGACAATGGAATGGGGGCACGAAACCACGCCGAGTGCCCCAGTGGAATATAAATAATGTGTGGGCACCGGGGGTTTAAACGACTGGAAGGAGTGTAACGTATTTTCTTCATTATCTGCAGGCGAAACATGCGCACCGATTTGGATTTCACGCAGCAGCGTGTAATATATATATATATATATATATTTTTGAGTTAATGCATAATGGAAGACGGATTTATCTTTTTTTTCTTTTCAGCATATGTCCCGCGGCTTGCCACGGCGTGGGCAGCCGTGCAGTGTTGGGTTTCACCATTCATCTCGTTTGTTTGTTTTCTGGCACTCCTGTGTGGTTGTATTTGCCCCTAAATGCCTTGCTTTTTTTTTTGTGACTGTGGGTAAGAACTTAACGACAATTACACGATATAGGCATTGCAGTGTACCCCAGCAATGGGGCCCGTACCCTTTCGCGGTGCTGGGGCTCTGGTTGCGTATAATGTCTCCGCAGCAGGGCGTTGCTGCGAGCACGACTGAGACCAAGACGACTCCACCCCTCGAGAAGGTTCCACGTCATGCCCGGTGCGTGGAGGTGAGGCGGTCTGCCTGCAAACTGTCGGACAAAAACGCACGATCGTTTCGCTGCGATCGCTCCGTTGATATCACCCGTGGCGGTGACGTCCACAAGAACCCTGGCACCGAGGAGGATGGCTACATCACTTTTTGGCAGCTTAACATAGCAGGCCTCTCGTCCGTAAAAAAGATTGCGTTTGCTGTGCGATGGGAGCTGCCCCAACCTGACATCGTTCTTCTCCAGGAATTAAATAACCGCAGTGAAGTGGCGACAAAAGTTTCTGGCCATAATGGCTTTCTTCAGGCCGCACCGGACGCGGTGGTGGTGTTGCCATTTTGGTGCGTCACTCTCTACCGTGCGAGCGCCTGACGCTCCCTGGCACTGACCTCCTGGAGACCATTGCTGTCCGTGCATTTCCACCGGGCCGTCCCGGCATTTGCGTGGTGAATCTCTACAACCCTCCCACAACAACCTTTAAGAGCTCTTCGTTTATCAATATCGTTTGTCGCTTGGGCCCGAAGCGATGATCGCGGGTGACCTGAATTTACATCGTGAACTCTGGGACAGTCATATATAACATCAACGACTGGAGGCGATAATTTCGCCGCTACTTTAATCGATATGGATTTTGGGCTGGAAAATGACCCGACACAGGCAACACGGATCACACATCGTGATGTCTCGTCCCCTGACGTGAATGCGTATCGCGTACTACGTGTCACCCACTGGACATCCACCCCCTACATGGATTCCGACCACTGCTTAATATCTTACTCGGTAGGGATGGACGATGGCACTCCACGAATAGCCAACACGCTGCCTCGACGGAAGAAAGCCACCTTTGCCCTGCGTAAACCGGATTGGCCTGCTTTTACATCGTTGTGTGAAACACTCCTTGCCACCGCGTCCACATGGTTGGATTCTCGCGGAGGCATCGTACGAGCAGCTGAGCGCCTTATCCCGCGCGGCAGCCGTGACACCCCAAAACAATCTGGACAAACAAAATGGAACAAGCCGAGTCCGCCGCAGAAGCAGCACACGAAGCACACACATTGCCTCACCTGGAGACAGCCTGCTTCGAGCCGAATGTATCCGAAAAGAGGGAACTAAAATCAAGCCTTACGCCGTTGCTTCGCTGTGCTTCTGGAAGCCCGCGCGAAAAGACGTGGAGCCTCACCCAGCCCGAGCTGGCGATATCTTCGCGGTATGGCGGCGCCGCATCCTCATCCCCTGGAATTGGTTGTGCTCCGCACTGACTTGGCCGCGTTTGTGTCCTGCCTCGGCAACAGGCGAATCTGCTCGTCCGTCATTTTGTGTGGGTTTTACGTGCCACGTTACCTTATACTGTCGCTGCTGCTGCTGCACTCCATTGCCCCCTGGTGACTGGGAAATGGATCGACCTCTCACGCCGTATGAACTTGACGTGACCATCCGTGACTCTTTGCTTGGCTCAGCCCCTGGCCACGACAACATGTTGAATGAATTCCTGCACCGTCTCGGGCCCGTTGCGTGCGGCACTCTTAGAAATATGATTCACAACTCCTTTGCAAATGGCAGCCTGCCTGAAGACTCCATGAGCGGAAGTGACGACGGGGACTCTTCTTCACCGTCTGAGGCGGATATTTTTTGGTTGCCATTGTCTTCCATGTTAAAAAAGAGTGATGATGAGGACTCACTGGGGTCGTGATTGAAGGTGCTGCACATGACGGTAGAGGCAATTTTTATGGAACGAAACAACACCAAAAAGCAACAACAATGTTTTCCCTTGTTTTTTCTTTCTGTCTCTCTCTCCCTATATATATGTAGTGTGTGTCTGCGGCTTAGCTTCCTTTATATGGTTGGCCTTATCATTACTGTTACGGATGTCCCTCACGTGTGATATTATTATATGTATTTGTATGCACATATTCTTTTTTATGTCTGTTAATAAATGCAGTAGAAATAAAGTATGGCATATGTCGATCAGGCTATCAGTATTAGGCGAATGGACGTCTGATAGCTCAATACAGAAGTGCGAAATATGTGAGGTCAAATTTAATTTTGGGCGCAGGCGTCATCATTGTCGGTACTGTGGCGGTATTTTCTGCGTGTCATGCTCGAGCTTTTTTGTTAAATTACAAAAGCTTCATGTAAATAAACGACGACGGGTGTGCCGCAAATGTTTTGAATTTCTTTCAAAGACACCGCAAGCTACAAATCCGTCCTGTGCTAGTGCTCAGAGCCACCATAAAGAGTTGAACAGTGTGAATGCTTGTAATTGCGAGTCCGATCGTTTGACTACTGAATCCGCCCAGGCAACAACTGTTGTCTCTTGGACGCCACGAAGAGAAGAAGATCGAAATACCGCAGGTACATTTCCCGACGAGGAGAATGCTGACGATACTGATTTGGATGATGACGACGACGATGTTTCTGCTGCTGTTGCAGGTGTATATACTCCTCTATGGATGATGGCCAACACACCGGTAGCCTCGCCTTTCTTGCTGCACTGCAAGACAACCTTCGGTATTCAGAGGGCTCTGACGTAATTCATGTTCTTATTTATGTATCAGCCACGAGGTGTCAGGTGATTTTAGTTACGGTGAGTGATGGGGAAACCGTGTTGATGCTCGCTAAGCGTTTGGTGGATGTGCACTTCAGGTTGGACAGTGGATCTTTCAAGTCGATTAGAACGGCTGCGAGAGAGATTTTACTGCAAAAACTGAGGTTTTCAAGTGAATCCATTGTTATAGAGAATGAGGCTAATGCGAGTGATGTGGCATCTCATTGTAAACACTTGGTTCTTTCGACTCTGTCTGTTTCCGAGCTGCAACATGTGCACGATGATGATCCTATTGAGGGTTTTTTTTTTTCCGTAGCGAACTCTGCAGTGAAAATAAGGACGATATGATATGTTATTTGTTGCCTTTTTATTTTTACTTTCACGTGTTTTTGTGTTTTTGTAATTTCCGTGTGTGTTATTTGTTGGTGTTTTTTTTTCTTTTTTCTCCGGCACAATTTGCAGAAAAAAAAATATAAATATAAATATAAATAAACGCTCACGAAATCGGCAAGAAAAAAATGACCCTCATTTGGCTGCCGTCTTTTTTTCTTTTTTTTTGGTGTTAAAAGAGTTTTTTTCGTTGAAAAACTGTGAGTTTTCCCTCGTCTGCGTTCTCGCACTCACGGAGAAACAAAAGGAGGGGGAAAAACTTATGAATTCATGTCCTTCCAATTGAAGTGCCAGTCCGCCCTCCTGTGGAATACGTGAGTGCTCGGCCTTGCAATCCGCGGTGTTCAAAACATCTCATATTTATTGATTTGCAGCGTTTTTAGTTGTTTTTTTTTTTTTTAGAAACTTTTTGGAACGAATGTGCGAGTTGTGGGGGCGAATTTTGATGGTGCTGCGCGGGAAGGTGGCGGCTGCAGTTTCTTTCTGTCGTCCCACCCGCCTCCTTCATTGCGCTTCACGCGGTGCAGGGGAGTCCGGCGGCTAAAAGGGGCACTAAATTAAGGCTGCAGCTTTGCTACTTTACGACGAGTTTGGCTATTGTCGATTTATTTGTCTGATGGCTTTTGTTGCGTGTGCATGAGTGCTGGATAATTTTTCTTTGGAGCGCGTTGATGCAGAGCGATGTGTGATTAAATTGTCTTCTCCCATTTTATTGTGTTTCCCTCCTCTCACATTTCTGAGGATAAGACGTCAACGACCTCATCTAAGCAGATGCTCATTTCTTTTTTTTTTTTTTTTCTTCCTTTTCCGTTTGAAGAAAATGGACGTTTCCGCTTTTCTGAAGGAGTTTAAGAGGGCGAGGAAGGAATCTGGCGACAGCGTTCCTCTTGGTGGCGAAGAGAGCGCGGGTGCCGCAGGTATAGCAAACGCATTTTCACAAAACGCAACAACAAGTGGACGGATTTTATCTCCGGATGACTCGGGGGAAAGTGAGCAGTGCATCAGCGATCGTGAAGCCGAAGATGCGCCGCCTTCATATCTGAGAAGCAAGAGGCAACGGTATGATGCATTTTGGCGGCGCACGCAAGAGGGAGGTTCGGGCCGTACACGCGAGTCTTTTACGGAGATAAAAACGTACCGGACGAATCAGTTTCTAAAGACGGACAGCAGCATCCCCAATGCGACAGTTCGGAGGGCAACTCACTCTATTCCTTTACGAGTAGCAGCCAAGAGGGGTGGCGCGTCAACCGTTAATAAACTACGTGATGAGCTCTTGCGGAAAAAGAATTCTCTCAATCAATCATTGGTGGTGAGGGAGCATACAGACAGTTGTTGTGCGGATGATTCTCGGGAGTGTGCATTGAGCACAGGCGCTGAGGGATTTCTTGTCTGTGTAGATGATCTTATTGCCCCTGAGAACACGACTATGGATCAGTCTCCCTTTTTGGTTGAGGATCATGCGGCACAACTGCAAGCCAAAAATGAGGGTGATGTGGCCACAGCCACACCGAAATATTCCACGGAAGAGCAGCAGTCTTCTTCTCTTCCTCCTCCTCTTCCCCCTGTTGAGGTGGAATTGTGCCATGAGAAACCCAGGACTGAAAGAGTGAGTTTGTTCGCTCGAGCAAAGATGTACTCTGGTGCGACTGCCCCTGTTGTGAATAGGGAGTCAGAGGTCTTAAATACGAGAAAGTTTTTGAAATAATTAGATTCTGACGAGGAGAAAACAATAACTACCACCACCACCAAAAATGGATTCTTTTGAGATAAATTGGAGTTCTTTCAGTTTCTATTCATGTGCTCATTAGGGAGGGGCATTGAGGATGATCTTTGGGTGCGGAGGGATTTTGGCATCACCGGAGTCAATTTTTTGTGTTCCATTTATATTTTCACGATGCCGTAGAATGGAAGAGAGGGGTGAAGAAGAGAAAAAAGAAGAGAGAGGTGGTCGCTTGACATGGATCGTTTTATTATTGGATCCCCAATTGGTGAGGGCCGCTTTGGCGTCGTTCGTGCTGCAGTTGTTAAGGAATCTGGAATGCCAGCCGCAATCAAATTCGTCACAACTCCACGTCTCGATGAGGGTATTCCGCATCCCACAGCGAGGGGACTGCTTGTTGCAATGCGATTGGTGCATCCTTTTGTTATTCGGACATATGAGGTAGTTCCGTGTGGCTGCTCCTTGGCGTTAGTGATGGAGCGTTGCAAGACTGACTTGGCAGCAGTCCTCTCAGGGAGAACTGCCAGCAATCCTCTGCCCGCGTTAGAGGCAAAGTCTTTATTTAAAATGCTTCTTTTGGCGTTGGCGTACATACACAGCGAGGGTGTTCTTCATCGAGATGTGAAACCTTCAAATTGTTTCTTGACTGCGGAGGGGGAACTACGCCTCGGCGACTTTGGACTCAGTCGTGTATGGGATACGGAGGCATCCATGACTCACGAAGTCGTTTCGAGGTGGTACCGAGCTCCCGAGTTACTTCTGGGCCAGCGACACTACGGACCCGAGATTGATGTGTGGTCATCAGGATGCGTATTTGCGGAACTTCTACGAGGGTACAGTGGTGCTCTTTTTGCGGGCGATGGAGATATTTGGCAGTTGTCACGAATATTTGATGTATTATGGACACCGACGCCCACATCGTGGCCATCGGCGGTGCTGCTTCCCGATTGGGGAAAGGTGCACTTTGAGCCGAAGCGTCCTCTTCCTCTCCGTGAATTTTTCCCGGATGCCTCTGAATGTGCATTGGATTTGTTGCGAAGATTACTTTGCCTGGATCCTCAAAAGCGTTTGACTGCGGCTGGCGCCCTTCGTCACGCCTACTTTGGTGAATACCCGACGTGAAGGTCTGTGGATGAAGGGACGCGGGGGCTATGTGTGGTGTGCGGGGATGAAAATTGGAATTGCTCATATAAATGCGTGCTTATTTTCCTTGACAATCCTTTTTGGTTGTTGTTGTTATTTTAATGGGTTATTATTATTATTTTGATTATTGTTTAAATTTATTTTTATTTTTAATTATATTTTGTATTTGTTCTTGTGGATTTTTAACTGCGAAGCCCAATTTTTTGTCCAAAGTAAAAGAAAACTAACGCGTGTGCGAGAGAGAGAGAGAGAAGGAGGGTGACGAGCACATATCTAACATAATAATGTATCGTTGCTTTCATCATTTCTCCACGTTGCCACTGGCGTTTGTACGATGGACTGCTACAAACAGTTACGTCAATCGCCATATTGGACCATCAGCGGCAGAATCAATTTCTATGCTTCGAATAATTGGCAAAGAAAGTCTGTCGGACCTCATGACTGCTGTGATCCCGGAGAATATTTTGCGAAGTCCTTTAAAAGAGGCTCCGGCGATGAGCGAGCAGGATGCCCTTTCGCTTCTCCATTCACTGGGTTCACGGAATAAGGTATTAAAGAGCATGATTGGGCAAGGATACTATGAATCGATCACACCACCTGTAATACTTCGTAACGTTATCGAGAATCCTGCATGGTACACCCCATACACTCCTTTCCAGGCTGAAATATCTCAAGGCCGTCTAGAGTCCCTGTTGAATTTTCAGTCCATGATTATAGACTTGACAGCTATGGATTTGGCAAATGCATCTCTTCTTGATCAAGCTACTGCATGTGCTGAGGCAATGTACCTTGCCTTTCATCATGGTCGAAAGGAGCGTATGACTTTTTTTGTATCGAGGGATGTCTTCCCATCTTGCGTAGAGATGGTAAAAACGAGAGCTGAGCCCCTTAAAATAAAGGTCGTTGTTGGTGATCCAAATTTGATTGATTGGAGCGATTCCTCACTTTGTGGAATTTTGGTACAAACTCCAGATGCCATGGGGATGCTTCATGATTTTACGACACTGTTTGAGAAGGCAAAGCAACACGGTGTCGTCAGTTGTTGTGGGACAGATTTGATGGCTTCTGTTCTTCTCAAACCTCCGGGAGAAATGGGAGCCGATGTTGTTTTGGGATCTGCCCAACGTTTTGGTGTCCCACTAGGGTTTGGAGGGCCTCACGCCGCATTTTTTGCTGTCAAGGAGGAATTTAAGCGATTGATTCCGGGTCGCGTCATTGGTATAAGTAAAGACTCGACGGGTTGTCCGGCCATACGCATGGCGCTTCAGACGCGGGAGCAACATATTAAGAAGGAACGCGCCACATCCAATATTTGTACTTCGCAAGCGCTCCTAGCAAATGCTGCGGCATTTTATGCCATTTATCACGGCTCTGAGGGCTTGAAGGAAATTGCGAGCGAAATGCACAGTAAAGCCAAAATACTTTCTGTTGGTTTAGAGTCTGTAGGGCATACAGTGGTCAATGGTACATTTTTTGATACCATCACCGTAAATTTAAAAGGTATAACGCCTGAAGACTACGCGACATGCTGCGTGGAAAAAGGCATTAATATTTTTGTTGATTATAGTCATGGCACCGTCTCTATATCGGTGGATGAGGCCACTACCGAGGGCCATGTAGTGTCTCTCTTGGAGGCAGCAGGGCTAAAACTTCCTGTGATAGGTGTCCTTTCAAAACTCGCAGAACAAAAGAGAGCAATGCCTTTGCAAATGTTACGAAAATCTGTCTTCCTTGGGCATTCAATCTTTCAAAAGTACAAAAGTGAGACTGAACTTATGCGGTACATTCACCGTCTTCATAGAAAAGATTATGGTCTCACGCATGGCTGTGTGCCCTTGGGTTCTTGTACCATGAAACTTAATCCAGCTGCCGCCATGTTGTCCTTGTCGTGGTCAGAATTTACCAACCTTCACCCTCTTGCACCGAAGGAGCAAACGCGAGGATATAGTGCGTTGTGTTTGGATCTGGAGCAGAAAATAAGGGATATTACCGCTTTAGATGCCGTGTCGCTTCAGCCAAATAGTGGTGCTCAGGGTGAATATGCTGGTCTTCGTGTGGTCCGCTCGTATCATAATTCAAAAAAGGAGAGCCATCGCAATGTTTGCTTGATTCCGGAAAGTGCTCATGGCACAAATTTTGCTTCGGCTCTCTTGGCAGGGATGGTGATTGTAAAGATAAAGTGTTTGGCGAATGGAAGGATTGACATGAAGGATTTGGAAAATTCTTGCCAAAAGCATACAAAGAATCTCTCGTGCATTATGATAACCTATCCGAGTACGTATGGTTTGTTTGACAGGGAAATCTTGGCCATTACTTCGATGGTGCACTACCATGGAGGGCAATGTTATATTGATGGAGCAAACATGAATGCAATGGTGGGTTATACAGCACCTGGATGTATTGGGGGCGATGTGTGCCAGATTAATCTCCACAAAACGTTTTCAATTCCTCATGGTGGTGGTGGTCCAGGCATGGGTCCTATTGCTGTTCGTCAGCACCTGGCTTCATTCTTGCCAGATTCTGTTTTTATTCAAAATGTTGGTGGTTCCCAGCCTTTTGGTCAAGTCTCTCAAGCAGCATACGGATCGGCGTCTATTCTTCCAGTTTCTTATTTATTAATGTTGATGCTTGGTTCACGGGGTCTCAAGACATGCACGGAGTATGCGATTTTAAATGCCAACTATTTAAAGAAGCGTCTTGACGGCCACTACCCAGTTCTCTTTTTAGGGGAAAACGATTTCTGCGCTCACGAGTTTATCATAGATTTAAGACCATTTAAAAAAACAGCACAAATTGAAGCAGAAGATGTGGCGAAACGACTTATGGATTATGGCCTTCACTCACCTACCCTGGCATTTCCTGTTGCGGGAACACTCATGATTGAACCCACAGAGTCAGAGTCAAAGCGGGAGTTGGATCGTTTGGCCGATGCACTTATTTCCATTCGTACCGAAATTGCATCCATAGAGAAGGGTGAACAGAGCACAACGAACAACGTTCTTAAGAATGCCCCGCACACGGCAAAGTGTGTCACATCAGATGATTGGGACAGGCCATACACCCGGAAAACTGCTGCATTCCCTTCGAGCCATTCACACACCGAAAAGTTTTGGCCTTCAGTTGGCCGCATCGATGGAACCTATGGGGACAGAAACTTGATGTGCAGTTGTGCATTGACTAATTTTTGTGAGTAAAACTGTTGCAATGGGAGACAGTATTTTTTTAATTTATTTATTACCAATTTTATATTTTTATTTGTTTCTGCATCCATTTCTTGGGTGATAGAGTGTTTTGGGCCTATTTTTGTCTGGTGTGATAAAACTGAACAGGGGGAGAGGGATATGATTGTGTGTGAGTGCGTGTTTGTCTGTGTGGTCGCAGAATGATTTTATGGTCTTTATCCTGTCAAGTGCTCTTCTTTAGGATGTACAATAATTTCAATGCGAAGATGCTTTGCCCTTGCAATCGCCTGGATTTTTCCTGCTTATTATTCCCTTTGTTAACACTGTTGTTGATTTGTTAAGGTAAAGCTTTACTGCAACTATACAAATGCATGTTTGTGGGATTTTTTTTTGTCAGGCCAAAGGTGAAGTGAACTAAGGCGTCTGCCTTTCCCTCACTGTCGTCAAGAATATTCCGGATACTCATCACGCACACGTCTCAGATGTAATTTTTTCATTAGTTTTGGATAATGTCTTGCACTTCGACAACCTCCAGCTTTGAGATAAATGGGGGTTACGATGAGAAGGAAATCGTCTACACACTTTTTTTTTTTTTGGTGTATCTTTTAGTTTTTATTTTCTCTTGTTGCTGTTAGAAAACATTGAACGAGAGGGTTTGCT